CAATTTCATAGATGTTCAATATGACCCCTTAGACACTCGAGTGACATCAACCTAACAGTTGTGACATTCTTTTTTAATCACCCTGTAGTTTATGATTTAACAGAGCACGTCTGGTGTTAACCAAAGCAAAGTTTATTGTAAGCACAGCTTGCATTTAACTAGTGCAACCCAAAACCAATCAAATGCAATTTAAAGGAATAAATGTAAAAATAATGAAGAATTAAGGCAAGCTTCTTCATATTAAAGATCATGAAGGTAGTTAAACATGCCTAGTTTACATTTGTTTGGCAAATTAGAAAATATAGGGCACTTTTAATGTTTGTATAGAAAACATGTTTCTGTAATATTTAATCTTGCACTTGACTTGTAAAATAGTCATCTAAAGACTTATTCATTCTGAACACTGTTATTATTTCTGTTAATTATATTTTTTATATTCAGTAGCTTTTACAAAGATTGTTACTAGTTTAATTTATTTTAGTTTATCATTCATCATAATTTTTTTTATCTAAGTTAACGAAAATTATGTTTGACCAATAGTTTTAGTCCTTTAGTTTTAGTTTTACTATAACCTTGGTGAGTATTAGTAGCATATTTCCGTCCCGCCACTGCTCTGTAAAAATGCTGGGTTGCACACGATTCCTTCATGTCATCCCAACACAAATCAATTAAGTTAACATAATGTTTTTTTATATAAATTGAAGTGGATTAAACAAAACAATGAAGTTGTTCTAGAAAAAAAAAACAACGTGAAAATTTGTTTTTTCAACCTTAAATTTTTGAGTGTAGTTTTAGTAATTTTGTAATAAATGCTTTTTTTTTCTTTTTCTTTTTTCTTTTTTTAAGATTTATTTTTTGCTATTTTTGCCTTAATTTGACAGGACAGTAGTTTTGACAGGAAGTGAAGTGGGAAGGAGAGAGTGGTGGGTAGGATCGGGAAAGGTCCACAAGCTGAGACTCAAACTTAGGATGTCCAGACTCAGATTGCTTCCACACCATATGCATGCTAACAACTGGGCTATTCCGCCTACTATTTATTTTATTTTTTTATTACTATTTTTTTCTTACATTTGAAACATTAGATGTGGAGTAAAAAAGACACTGGTATGTATTTAGGATTGACAGCAACCCATTCTTATTTAATTATGAATGAAATTAAATTATAAAATGTGACTTATCTACCAACTCAGTATTCCGTCCAGTAAAAAAAAAAATCCAGTCTTGACCCAATCTAGTTTATAGCCAGTTGTGGTAGTTTTTTATTTATTTATTTATTTATTTATTTATTTTCAAAATACTCCATAGATTAGTTGTCTATTTCTTTTGCTGAGCTCTGTATGAATTTTTAAGCCTATTTTAGTTTCATGCTGTTTCTTTCTTTGTCCTTCATCCTTACACACTGTAGTCCCTAGTAAACCCACCCCTAAACCTCGTAGCAAAGCTCTTGATAGGGTGAGTGAGCTGACCAATGGCAAACCGTCCCAAAACCCAATCAAACAGGAGAGTCCTGATTCTCCAGAACATGAAGAAGTAAATGAGAAGATCCAGTCACCTGACCATAGTGACCTTGTAGATGAGCAAAGGGTCTCAGAGGAAGATTTAAGTCCAGCTCCTGAAAACTCCTCCAATGCTCCAGAACAGAAGAGCCCCGTTCACACTGATTCTAATGAGTTGTCTGATGAAGATGGTAAAGATTGAAAACACAAAATACATTTTTTTAATATATTTAGATTGATATTATTGATACTGATATTTAAAATTAAAGATGCAGTACATTTCAAATTCATTACAAATCAAAATATTCAAAAACCACTGCAACTGTGTTATATATTTGGATGACTTATGTACTAATATTATTCCTAATGTTAACTATTGTTAAATTCCAGAGAAATAAGCCATTTTAGGTAGTGACACTGTGTTTTGTGATGCCATTCTGATGACCCTTGATTTCCTGTTTGGTTTTACGGAAAACATATAAACACCAAATACGCTTTAATATGTTGTAAGTTTGATTAGACTGCACAGAGTAGCAATATAAAAATTTATAAAAATAAAAAAAATCTAGATTATTTTACATTAATCCATAATTATATGCCACAGTAATTGCAACAGACAAGAGATGATGTTGTGGTAATATGTGATTAAAGCAGCAATGTTTTCAGAACAGTTTTTGGCGTAAACACATCCTTGGTATATTGCCCGTTTTGAAGAAAATGTGCTGTGCCAGTAAGTAATTTCTCTGATGTCTAGTTAATTGAATGTGTGCAGCTCAGAATGATAATGTTCCACACAGAGGACCAGTATAATAATACAGTATATAATCAAAACAGGGGCTTTAAAGCAATAGGTCACTCAGAAAAGAACATTTGCAGATAACCATTTACAAAAGCCGTCTACTCTCAACGTGGAGGAAATATAACATAAAGGCAAAACTGTATTTATACCTTTGGCTCCTGATGATATATTGACAAGCATTGATCAGGCTGTGTGTATTACAGTATTAAATGCAATTCACTTGATCACATTCAAAGCAGTCTGAAGTGCAAGCTTCCTGTTGTGTGATGTGTATACAGGCATAGATATGTATTTTATATGGGTTGCAACATCCAGAATAAGCATGTCTTCCATTTGTTTATGATCAATAACACAGTCATCCTACGTCACTATTGTAAATTGTGTCTTGTGTGAGTTTATGTCTCAACAGGATTCACTTATATATTTATTTTGTAAATGAATTTTTAATGCCAGTAACCATTGACTTATATTTTATGACTCACCAAAGACCACAATATCAGCTAACAAAAATTCTTCAATGTTCTGTTGAAGAAAAAAAGTCACCTATGCTTTTAATGGACTAAAAAAGTCCATTATTTTTTTTCTTTTTTTTTTTTTTTTTTACTTATATATTGCACCAAAATGTGTTGTAATAAATTATATTATTGTCATTTTAAGACATATTTAAAACTGTAAAACATGATATGACAAAAAGTTATGAAAGCAAACTTTTTATGTTGCTTTAACTTATTTTAACAAGTAATCAGGTTAATTAAGTTATCCAAAATTGTATTTTTTTTTTACTTGAATCAAATTACTAAAATAGTTGTTCTAGTCATCCCAACTTACATCATTCAAAGTAAAATTAATATTTTTAATTAAACTAAAATATTAAACCAGCAAGATTTTTTACATTGTACATTGTAAAACGTGATCTGACAAAAAGTCATGAAAACAAATGCTTTTATGTTACTTTAACTTAATATGTTTATTTTGTTTGATTGATGTAAGTTGAGATGACTAAAAATAAGTTGAGTTTTTTAATGTGTATAATGCCAGAATTACAATAAAACAGCTTCATAATGCAAGTACACTCTTTCAAAAAATGCAGAGTATTGTACAAATACGAATTCACAAGTATTTCATATAACTAATAGTAAGTAGTAAGTAATATCTAACTATTTACTAATTGTGCATTAGAATCAGAACGTGAAATCAATATCTTAAACAAATCAATAATAATAATAATAAATGTTAACAAAAACTTGCAAGGTAACAAGAACTAGAAGAAAGTAGCATGTTTAACAATGTCATTTTAGACTTTTGAAGTGTCAGGCCACACCTGCTACCAGATCTATTTTTAGTTGTTAGGCCTCCACAAGAAAATATGCTATATTAATTTATAGTTATTTTAATAATACTGACTCTGACCAGGGATGCAACGATTAGCCGATTTTATTATTAACCGCAATTTATTTCATCACAGTTAATTAATCGTAAAGATTTCTCAATATCACGGTTCTGCACTGCAACTAAACAAAGTTATGCCAACTGTGTGCTAGTCTAAAGTTCAGAGCTTGTATACCGAGGCTGATATGCACGCACACTGGATAAACTATGGCTGAAGCTATTAACTAAGGGCCATTCACATAATGCGTCTTTTGCGCACACAAGTTCGTAAAGAATTTTGGAATATAGTTGGTCAAAAATGCCATTCAGACAGAGGTTCAGCAGCCTTTGACTACATTTGTTCTCTTTAAAAGGGAAATATTTAACTAATATGCAGCTTAGATTTACATTAGACAAATACTAATTTATTTATTTGTTGTTCTGTCATTTATTTTCAGTGTAAAATTATTACTTGTAATGCCAAAACATTTTTTTCACTTATGTTTCACTTAAATATTTTTTATTTAATAGTTTTATATTTATTTAATTGTTTTTTTTTAAATAACACTTTAAACTATAATGGGTTTTCATGTGATTTTTCTAAACTGGTAGTGTTTTGAAATTAATGAATAATTATCGTGATAACCGTAGACTATAATCGAACAAACAAACTCTTTGTTTGCATCCCTAACTCTGACACCTTCAATTGAGTTTGAATGAGATGCACAATCAGCTAAAATGTTGCTGACATTGGTTTTTATGTATGGCAGATATACCAACAATGATTGAGGTCACGTCTGTGTGTTGTGCAAAGTCAATATATTGATTATTAAGCCCAAGGCCATTCATAGCAAGACTGACAACTATAGTACTAGCCTATTTTAACACTGATAACAGTCTGTTTATTATAATAAGGAAGGAGATTATACTGAACTTTTAATTTCTGCTGCTTTAAAATCTCCCATCCAAGCTTGGAGAAAAAATACAATAAATAAATTAAACCGAGTTTTCGTCCTTGGTTTAAACAGCCCTTTTGTCTGAAGAGTACGAATAGTTGTCATTTTTGAAGATGTTATTTAAAGAACTATGTAGCGGTTTTCTGTATTCCTCGATATGGATTGTCATTTTTGAAATTCTCCAACATCCACATATTGCCAAGTTCCTGCTATTTATTTATTTTAATATTTATTTATTTGTTCTTAAATTGAAAAATCTGCTCTTGATGATTTGCTTTAATTGTAATAAAAACACACACACACACAGGCTCTATTTTTTCTGCTGTCTTGTTTATAAAAATGGCCTAATTAATACTTGAAACATGTTTCTTTGATATGCAGGGATGTCATCGACTGGAAGGTCCTTCCTGAAGTCTCTGAGGAAGACTCCATCCATCAAAGAAGTAGATGAAGAGCAGCCAAAGGAGCTTTTCTTGGAGGATGAAGGGAACAGAGACCATGTAATCCTTAGCAGAGACAGTCTTGAGCCTGAAGGTCAGAATCTATCCTCACTCTGACCTCATGACATCCACCAGCACTCTATTTGCTTGACCGGCACCATATGTAATTGCTGTTTTACAGATTCGTTGGTGATACCTAGTGCCGGGGCTCGAGGGCTGGATACGTTGGATGAGGATGATGATGATGCCAGATTTCTATCTAATCTGAAGAAAGTATCCTCATCCTCTATTGACTTCTCCAGAATAAATCGAGAACAGGAGCTGTCTGCCCCAACCAGCCCACTGAGGTACCTGAAAAAAATGAGAAAAGGCTGAAATAATGAATTCCGTAGATGCTGTTTGTGAAGGGGCATTTGCATATTATCCTTCTATAAATGTAGTTTCTCTGTGTTCCTTTCAGAAGAGAAGAGATGGATTCGACAATTGAGGAGGAACAGAGAATGAATAAAGACACCGCTGGTAAGGGCAGAGCAGAGAGAATACGATTTTGAAAGAGATGTGTTTTGTTATTGCTTTCTGAAGCAATAAAGCACTTGTATGTTGCTTTTCTGTCAGCTTCTCCTGCATATAGTGAAGATTTTGAGGAAGAGGCGAGTGACAAAAGTGATGTGGAGCCTCAAGAGAAGGTGGATATAAATCTTTAATGCGCCTTAAGCCTGTAATAAGTGCCCTGTCTGAATTTATTAACTGGTTGTTTAGCAGTGCATGGAGACAATATGCATTTTTTTATTACTGGAGATGCAGACTGAGTGGTAATATTAACCATTATGTTTAGTGAGTACTGAATAATTAAAGCAGAATCTTTTATTTGTGACAAATTTGCTGTCTTAGTCCTTGAATGCATTTTTTATATGTGCTTGACTGCTGGTAATAGCAAAGTCCCTTTAAGGCAAGTCATTTCACTTAGCGGCCGTCTTTCAAACACCTCTTGGGCAATATGCTCGGGCATTCTGTCTGAATGTAGAAGCATCGAATTCTTCAAAACTGTTTGCCAAGCTTACCATTACATTACATATACTGTAGTTAAGGTCAGAATTATTAATCCCCCTGAATTATAAGCCCCCTGTTTATTTTTTTTGCCCAATTTCTGTTTAATGAAGAGAATATTTTTCCAACACATTTCTAAACATAATAGTTTTAATAACTCATTTCTAATATCTGATTTATTTCATATCTTTGCCACTATGACAGTAAATAATATTTGACTAAATATTTTTCAAGACACTTCTATACGGCTTAAAGTGACATTTAAAGGCTTAACTAGGTTAATTAGGTTAACTAGGCAGGTTAGGGTAATTAGGCAATTTATTGTATAACGATGGTTTGTTCTGTAGGATGTGTGGGATGCTAATTACCCTAACCTGCCTAATTTACCTTGTTAAACCTTTAAATGTCACTAAGCTGTATAGAAGCTGTATAGTCTTGAAAAATATCTAGTCAAATATTATTTACTGTCGTCATGGCAAAGATAAAATAAATCAGTTATTATAAATGAATTAATAAAGCTATTGTGTTTAGAAATGTGTTGAAAAAATATTCTCTGTGTTAAACAGTAATTGGGGGGGGAAAACAGGGGCTAATCCGCTTGTTAAGTGTGACGTCACGCAGAGCGGCTTCCGAGTCCAATTGCTCTATTCAACTGAATGGGGAGATTTATGAAATGGTAATGATAAATGTTTACAAAGCGATTTAATACTTACGAAAGTCACGATCGCAATATATATGTCCATGCCTAATATCCGATGGCCAGAAAGTGATTCATTGTTTTATAAATTGTTAAAATTTTGGTATTTGTTATGCAGCAAGCCCAGAGATTGTTGTGTACACTATGACTTTATGTAAAATTAACTTTAATGTGTGATAGGAATAAAACGCGATCATAAACGAAGGATTTCTCCACTCAAACGAATGGCGGCTTGGAAACAGTATACATACATCACAAACACGTCACCACTTAACAAGCGGATAATTCAGGAGGGCTAATAATTCTGACTTCAACTGTATTAAGTGCATTCATGCATCATACGTTTGCTGTTTTACTCCATAGAACTAAATGTAAAAGTCAGAAACCTTTTTGCACAGGCCTATCTAAAAGGTTAATGCTGCCAACTGATGATCAACAGTAAAAATTAAAAGTTTTACCTCTTCCCAACAGGGAAAACCACAAACAATCAAGAATGCATGGTTATATGCTGTCAAGGCTTTACAATCAAAAAATCTCGATATAATGGAAGTCAGTGGGGCAAAAACTGCCCCTAAAATAATGAAAGGGTAGTCAATATAAACAGTACACAAGGGTTAAAATGAATAATTTTTGTCATGAAATTTAATAGCTCCTAATTTTAAACCACAATATCTGCTTCTCTGTGATTTTTAGAAACCTGAAAGACTTGGGATGCTGGCCAAAGGTATACAACACTCCAAATGTCCACATATAATGCTGCAAATATTTTGAGGAAGCTGAAATGCTCTTCTTGTGTCCCAGTGTCATTACACGACTCTCTAAATTCCACGGATGGAGCATTGGCTCCGGCAGTTCCAAGTTTGGCCGTTGCGAGAGAAAATCGTCCAGAAAGCAAACAAACAGACATGCCAGCACTGGAACCCGCAGGTATGGCAAGCAGTTGGTTTGTTTAAACCTACAGTATGTTGAGAAGGTAAACATCAGGCAGTTAATGTCACACCTTCTCTCCTCCGTATGTTTGAAGTGCAATCATATGGTCAGAGTGGAGGGAGTGAGATGGAGGCACTGCAGGAGGCGTACAGGCAGATCAGCGGCTCAGCAGGAGTGTGTGAAGATGGACAAGTCGAGGCTGGCAGGACTCCTCTTTCTCTCTCTACACTCCAGCCTGCGTCCACCGTGGAGTCAGGTCAGACTCGGCACATGGCTGGTTTCTGCCAGTCACTGTGGGCATGCCTGCACTACAGACCTTTTGATTTGCAGCTTTTTCTGTGCAAATGCTTCCAGTTAAACATTAAAGTGAAGAACGTGAGATGGCTAACAAGTTCTTTGTTTGCAGCAGAAGTCCTGTTAGCTGACTCTAAACAGCTCGATTTGGGACTGTCAAGTAACAGACTTTTACTGCACAATATTGGAAAATTTGGATATTTATTCATTCGATTTCCTTCAGCTTAGTCCTTTTATTCATTAGGGGTCGCCACAGTGGAATGAACCGCCAAATTATCCAGCATATGTTTTACACAGTGGATGCCCTTCCAGCTGCAACTCAGTACTGGGGAATATTCTGATATTGCGATATTTTATTTTATTTTTCTGCGATGAATACAGTTTTACAAGATGGTTAGAATTGACCCTTCGCTAAGCCCCACCCTCCTTAGGTACTGTTGCTAGCCTGTCAAGCTTTCGTGCCTGCAATGTCTATCAGAATGTGTATGTTCCGATGTCAGACATTCCCAGGGATATAATAAGTCATTTTTGGCGAACAGATGAGAAAGCCAGACAAAAAAGGACTGCAGTATGCATTACAGGGGTATATTCACGACATAATAGGCAATGATTATAAAATAACTCAAATAAATCAAAATTGAAGGTAGCTTAGCCTAGCTGCCTTATATGCTAACCATTCAACAGCTCAGTTCATGCACAGCAGGAGAGGTGAAATTTACAAATAATCTAATAATAACTAATTAAACTGTGATTTCTCTTTTTTTAGCCAAAAAGCCTGAATTGTTGTGCAATGAAATATAGCGTTATTAACCGACAAGGAAACAAGCATGGACAGTGCTTGATAGATTTGTGTCAACAATTTGCATTATTTACCCATAACATTGTACACCTATCACTGTCTGTACATATTGTGTTTGTGTGCTCTTTATACCGTTTCTATTCTAATTTGCAGATAAGTGGAATAAATAAATAAATTTAAATGCAAATCAAAGTATAAATAGCAGAAGTGAACAGACACCAAATATAAAAGCAGACACTAACCTGCTATATCATCGTCACAATGACTAAATCTCCAAAAGACGAAAACATCAGTGAATTGTAGCTCTGACATGGACATTGAGGTTTATAAAGTACTCAAAAACAGCTGCGGGTGAAGTATATTAATTGCAAGTGCTCAGATTGTTATCATATTTCTGTTTGGTTCTGTTGAGATGTAATTTCAAATATTCTTAGCTTGAAACAGATGGAAACATTATTGATATTGGTATGACTACTATGACGAAGGCGTAAACGGAGCAGTGCTCATAATATCATGGGGAAAAAAAGAAAGAAAAAGACAGTTCAGAAACAAAGTTTAGATCTGTTTAGGGTAGGAGGTGTGTGAGTTAATGCCCTCGGTCTTTCACTGAATGTGTCAGAAATATCCAAAACAAAACCAACTTAACTTTACTCCTTTAACACCCCTCACAGAGCTTGATCCACGCTGGCATTTCTCCCCTTGGGTTTTAGGTTTTGAAAAGGGAAAAAATTCCATCATCACGTCCAAACTTTAGGGATATCGGATCAGATTTGCACAATCCATATGCACAACACTCTGGCCTGTTTCTCTCGCTCGAAAGCTTGACAGAGCTCCTGTGTGTAGCTACAATTGCTAAGCCACGATTGGTGGGTGGCAGTTTTTGGGTGTGGCTTATCGAAGGGTCAGTAGCACTATTTAATGTTTTTTTTGGGAAGCCTAACAGTATTTAAGTACAGGAATGTAAAAAATCTCAGTGCAAAAAAAGGCATACTTTGCTTTGTCTCGTGTCTAATCCGAATATCAAAAAACTCTTAGAGCAAGTAAAAAATATTTTTGTCTTCACCATCAGAAGAAATAAGTCAAAATTAAGAGCACTTAAAACAAGCAAAATTATCTGCCAGTGGGGTAAGTGAAATAATCTTGTTCTTCTTTGAAATGTAGATATTTGGTCTAGAAACAAGTCAAAAAAAATTTTTTTTGTATAAATCAAATAAATACAATGATTAAATACAATTCTGTAGCTACTGTTTAACTTTGATTCAATCTCAACATTGTATATCTTTGTGATGTGCCATTTGCAGATGCACACTTTATCAATGCACGTTATTTATTTATTTATTTGTTTATTCATTTGTTTTAATTGTTTTACTTGTTGTAGGCTGTAAATATATAGCACTAACTTTAACAAATATAAATGAATAGATCTGCCCTTTTTATTCATCTTTTCTTTTATTTTGTTTATAAAAAATCTATTTTTAGCATTAGTTTAGATTCTTGGAAAGATTAGTGGATTAACATTGACTTCTGCTGTCTTGATTAGTTTAAAAAACAGATTTTTTACAACAAATGAAAAACACATACACGCACAAAAAAGCTTACATTTATCTTAGGAACGGTATAGCAGATAAATTTAGCAGTTTTAAAACCTTGAATTTTTCAAACCGCGGTAAACCTTAAAACTAGTTATGGAGTAAAATAAACTTGTTTTTGCTTTAAAATGTTTTTGCTTGAAACAAGACAAAACAATCAAAGTAAGAAAACCTTTTTTTTCCCTTATGCATAAATCTTATAAATTCTGTATAAATACAGGAATTAAATACATTTTTTTAGCTCCTTGTCAACTATAATCCAGACTAAACATTGCATATCTTGCAATGTGACTATTGCAGATGCAAACACTGTGATATCAATACTGAATAGATATATTGTGCAGCATACACAGGCTAAAAGCCAATCCTTCCTTTAGTTCATTGTTTTACTTTTTTAAAGGGACAGTTCACCCAAAAATAACAATGGTGTCATCACACAATTACTCATCCTCGACCTCTTTCCAAACCTGTTTGAATTTATTTCTTCTTTTGAACACAAAGGAAGATTTCCTGAAGAATGTTGGGGGGGAAACCACTTTCATCATACTTTTCTTTCTACTACAGATGTGGATAGCTTCTTTTTTAACATTCTTCTGAATATCTTGTTTTGTGTTCAACAGAAGAAGGAAATTTATCAACATTTAGAACCACTTGAGCATCATCTTTGGGTGAACGACCCTTTTAGGTTCTTATGAGCCCTAAATTCACCATGGGTGGTGGCGATTCAAATCTATGATAAATGGCTCTGCTTTTCCTAAGACAGATTGTATTCGATCTGAGCAGTACTTCAGTGTGAGAGACAGCTTATCGATCACTGCCAAAGCCCAGAGACACAGCCATGCATATCAAATTTACAGCTCACTAGTGAAATTATGAATCTGGAATTCTTGTGACCAGAATTTAATCAATGTAATGCAGATTTACCCACTGCTGAGGAACTTATGCAGCCCATAGGACCAGACAGCGGATTCACCCGTGGCTTCTCTCTCCAGCCCATAACGTGAGTTCACCTTCACCTTCCCAGAATATGAGTCATATGTTCTCATTACAGCAGCTCTAGAAGACGTATTTCTCTTACAGTGAGGCTGTGCCCAGGAGCAGAGACAATCAAAGTCCATTAAGGATATCTTCAGACGAGAGCCCTTTCAGTTCAGCTAATGAAGGCTATGGAGGAGGTAATACAGCTAACCTTACAGGAGGAGAACATCCAGATTCCTATAAGTTCACTCAGAAGAGCATATCGGAGGAGATCAGAAGACTGATGCAAGAGCAGGACACCTCCTCTCAGGAACCTCCACCTTTAAAACCAAAGAAGCGCCAGGTTAGAGACTGCTATTATCAGTCATGAACGTCCTGTGTAAATTAGATCCTGTAATTTATGTCATTTTGAGAAATGACAATGAAAAGATAAGAGGCGCATACTCTCTAAAGTAAATGAGACATAATTTCTCCTATTTATTCACATGGTTTTGATAGTCACATTTATGAATAATGCATTATCAACTTGTGTGTCTCAGGTTCCTGCCAGAAGCAATGCATCTACATCTGCTTCCTCTAGAAAAGCTCCGGTTCCATCGGTGAGGGTTAAAAAACCTGAGAGCAAGCCGTTACACAGAGTGCCAGCACCCAGCAGAGCTGCTCAAGCAGCCAAACCTCCATCTCCTCCAACACTGAGGAAAGCTCAGAACCAGACTTTTAAAAAAACCCAAAACCTCAACCAAACACACACAATCAAAGGTACTCGGTTTACTTCCACAAACATCTCAAGTAACATAATTTTTATCTGCAAAATTAAAAGATAAAGTATATTTAGTTCACTTTTCAATATTTTAATTAATATTTTTTAATTTATTAATATATCAGTCATTCAGATATTATTTTGATTCTAATAAATGTTTAAATGTCAATTAGTACAATCAAAGTTCACAAATATAAGTTTGTATCTAAAGAGGATAATTTTCATTTATAATTTATTTAATTTATTGATATATCTTTCATTTAGATATCATTTTGATTTTAAGGAATTGTTATGTCAATCAATTCAATCACAGTTCACAATGTAAGTGTTTACCAAAAGAGAAAAAGATCATTTTCATTTATAATTTAATTAAATTTATCTTTAATTTAGATTTGATTTTCATTTTAATAAAATTTCATTTTAATCCAGTCAACCAAAGTTCACAAATATAAATATTTACCAAACGAGAAAAAGAGGATAAGTTTAATTAAAAATGTATTTAATTTATTAATATATCTTTTATTCAGATATAATTTTGATTCCAATACATTTTTATAAAGCAGTCATACGATGGCCGAGGGAGAATAACATGCTGCAATTTAAGAAAACACATGCAATTACAAAAAAACACAAGAAGATTATGAAAAGATCCTCATTGGTTAAACAGCATAAATTCCCACAACTTAACACATTAAGAAAACGCACTGAATTTTCTCACAACACATGCAAATAGCACGGAACACAATGGAAATGTTTCATGGGAACCCAACAATGTGACGTACCCATCAATTTAGGTTATGGTTATGTAGGCTAATAATATACAAAAGCAGGGTTCATGCAGTCATGAAAAACCTGGAAAGTCATGGAGTTTTGACAGAGCATTTTCCAGGTCTGGAAAAGTTTTGGAAAAACAAAAAACGCACAAAGTTTTGGAAAAGTCATGGAAAACATATACAGTTGAAGTCAGAATTATTAGCCCCCTTTTTTATTTTGTTTTTTAAAATATTTCCCAAATTATTTTTAACAGAGCAAGGAAATTTTAACAGTATGTCTGATTATATTTTTTCTTCTGGAGAAAGTCTTATTTGTTGTTTTATTTCGGCTAGAATAGAAGCAGTTATTAATTAACAAAAAACATTTTTGGGACAAAATTATTAGCCCCTTTAAGGTTTTTTTTTTTTCGATAGTCTACAGAACAAACCATTGTTATAAAACAACTTTCCTAATTACCCTAATCTGCCTAGTTCACCTTATTACCTAGTTAAGCCTTTAAATGTCACTTTAAGCTATGTAGAAGTGTCTTGAAAATATGTAGTAAAATATTATTTACTGTCATCATGGAAAAGATAAAATAAATCAGTTATTAGAAATAAGTTTTAAAAACTATTATGCTTAGAAATGTGCTCAAACAATCTTCCCTCCATTTTACAGAAATTGGGGAAAAAAATAAACAGGGGCGCTAATAATTCAGGGGGGCTAATAATTCTGAGTTCAACTGTGTCTGTATACTTGAATATAGGTTACAGTGTTTCCTCTAGGACTTTTCCAGCTCTGGTGGCAGGCCTTTTGCACAGATTTACCAACTACCTATGGTGTTATTTCAATGACAAATGTTGTGAGCACAGTATTACGAGTCGAGATTCATATTCTGTTCATATGCAAAACTTCTTGCACGCCCTTAAATATACGCTGCTCAAATGCAGATTTTTTTTGTGCGCTCTCAAGTAATCACTGCTGAAGTGCAATTTAGCGCATTTATGTAGTGAATATGTCTCCAACATTTATTAGGTTTGCTAGGATAGTTATGAATTTCTCCAGTAGACCTACAGAGCGGCATTAATGCGTCCTGAAGTTAAGTTTGTTGAATGCAGAGACCTTTATCTACAAAGTATAATTATTGAAGCTGTCTTCATCCTAACTGAAAGCTTCGTCGTGTTTGCTGGCCCCACACATCATGCACCTGTTAGTCAGTCAGTCACCACGTCACCTTAAAGCAGGGGTCACCAATCCTGGTCCTGGAGGGCCGGTGTCCCTGCAGGGTTTAGCTCCATCTTGCCTCAACACACCTGCCGGGATGTTTCAAGTATTCCTAAGACCTTGATTAGCTTGTTCAGGTGTGTTTGATTAGGGTTGAAGATAAACAGAAAAGTTTGCGCTGTTATAGTTCACTTACCATCTAATACGCTTTAGTGGGATAATAACCCGCTATAAAAAAAATTAAATTTTGGAGAGGTACTCCACCGTGGAAGAATGAATGTAGCGGAAACCTTGGGTAAGTTGTCTTGACTTCTATTCTGTCCTTGGCCAATCTCATACTCTCACATTACTACTGTCGTGCGTTATCTAAATTAATTTAGATAATTAAGCATTATCTAAATTAATTTTACATAGGTATAAATATAAATTGAAACTAAAAGATTCCTGTGTGTTTTACAATATGCTGCAATAAATTTAAACATGCAATGTTTTTATTTTACCACGCATATATAGACATTGCATGAAACATTAGGTGATGAAAATTTACTTAAAAGTCTTGAAAAAATCATGGAAAAGTCATAGAATTTTAGTAGCAAAAATGCGTATGAACCCTGAAAAGGGAATTGTGTTATCAGGATGTTAAAATAAACATAAAAACCTCACCTTTAAGCGATCACCTGCAACCAGCACGGCACTATAAGCAAATCTCAGCTGGGTCCGTCATGTTTTTGGGTCTCCTTGAAACACTTCCATTGTGCTTTGTGCATGTGTTGTGTTTTCATACCGTGTTTTCTTAATTTGTTTGCCTTGTGACGATTTCCAGCAAGTTTGCTGTCAAATCAAGAATTTAATTAAATTTTTCAAATTAAAATGAAAAATTTTAAAATTGCATTGTGTTAAGCTCTCTTGGCCAATGTACTAGTATTCAGTATTTATTTAAGAGAAAAATAGATAATTATTGTTTTATTGGAGTGTTATGTAAAATTGAAAATAAAAAAATCATATTACCGTAAATAAGAACTTAGGAAGAAAAGCATCTTAATCTTTATTGTAATAGAAATAATAGGCAAAAAGGATTCTGCAAAAATGTCAAGGGTCCTAAAAATGTTACATTTTTAATATAAAATGCAACTACTGATTGTAATTTCATAGCCGACAATACTTGCTTTGTCTTTTTTTGTTTGTTTTGAACAGGTTTAGACACAAGTTTAAAGCTAAGCAGTGAACTGGTAGAATCTGTGCAGTCTTTTGCTGCATTCCTACAGCATCAGGTTGAAGCCAGCAGTCTTCAGGACAAAGGTCCTTTCCAAGCAAACAAGATTGCTTCTGAAGCAATGACAGCGGTGAGTTGGCTGTGACTGAAACTGATCAATGGATCAAATTGTCCAGCTCATTAAAATCCTGTTCTGTTTGTCTGTCAGCATAAGGGGATGCAAGAGAAGATGGATGGTGGTCCGGAGCTTGCATCGCTGGAGCGTCTCCGTCTGCAGCTCGCCAAGAAAGAGAGAGAGCTCAGTCTGAGGGAAGACCAGTTACAAGAGCAGCACAAGCAAGAGCTGACAGCCCTGAGACAGGAGAACTACATCTTACAGAGCAAGGTGACCTCTCGTTTAGCTGTGACAGAAATAGTTCCTCGCATTTCTATCATTTCAAACCTGTTTTAATGTCTTTTTTTATTTTTTAAGGATTGTGGCAGGGTTTTCACACATTTTTAAAAAGTTTAATAAATCTAAAATTGCTTTGTCATAAATTATAAAGGGATAGATTAATAATATTTACTAACACAAAATTCCACCTTCAGATTTAAAGGCACTAATAAAAGGCTATATTCTTAACAAACGCCAAGCAGAGTAGGTTCAGTGCTCAGAAAATACATTTTTTGAAACCCAGCTAGTAATAGGAAGAAAATCAAACCTTTTTTTAAACTCAAGAAATAATGAGATTGTTTACATAAGATGCTGTATTAGGCATGCTCTAGACTTACTCATGAACTTCTACTCTTTTGGCAGAAACCAAACTGTTAGACTTATACTTGTGGACTGCCCTATTTTTAAAGAGCCCCTTTTATGGGTTTTTGAAAATGACCTACCATGCAGTGTGTAACACAGCTCTAAGTGAATAAAAACATCCAGCTGGGGTTTAAATCTGTTTAAAACTATTGATTTAAAACAAAAAAGAGTCGACTTAGAGTCGTTTAAATGATTTGTCATTCATCAGAATTTTTTGCCTGTTTATATCAATGTCGACACAAAACAATACCATCTACAAGGTGCCGGATTTGAAAAAACGTGAACGCGCCTTTCCATTCAAACACTAGTGGAATGCGGGGTGTGCAATTGATCATTATTGAAGATAAGTAAATGTTAACAAGGGAATATTCTGATGAATAATACAATAACCTACCCTGAAATGGGGGATTTGCTGGTCGTTTGTTAAAGGAAGCAGCAGCAAAGACTATTTAATGAAAATATTTATAGGTCTTTGTTAGACCTTGACAGGAACTTTTGTCAGTACACTGTTCATATGGACCCCTTTCTCTCTTTGAGTGTTTAAAATGATTGCATCCTTGTTTTTCTTCTAGCTTGCAAAATGTGTATTTAATTGTGTTTTGTTACTTGTAATTGCTTCACGTGACTTGCACTGTATCTGGTTAACTCTATATATTCACACATGTCTATAACCACGTTAAAAACAAGACGCGTGTCAATTTATTTACAGATTTAAATGTGTTTGTGAGCTTATGATTTCCTGCTGTTTGTTGTTGCTATGGCCACCATTAGCTTCTACATGCATGATGCGGTTTGTTTTCAAAATGGTTCAGGTTTTGCCACTGTGTGGATTAATACTGAATGTGTGTCGTTGTTTTTCACGTCAATATGCTAGTGTTTAACTGCATTTGGCTCACACAAACTCTGCAATGGCTACTTCAACAATTTTAATAAGCCTTGTTGGGTGTTTCTTTTCGTCTCTTGCTGAAAGCAGTCAACCAATCGCAACAGACTGGGTCATTGGACCAATCACAGCAGATTAGTATCATGCAAAGGAGGGGTTTGGGAACAAATGAATAGCTGACCGAATCATATGGGAGTCATCAGGGCAAACTATCCCTGTAAGACTTAAAAAAAAAAAAAAAAAACTTAAATCAGAGCAGCAAGTCTTAAATTCATATGATCATGTCATATATTTTTGTGAGGAACTCAGTTCAGCCTGCTTCAGAATTCACTTTATTACTGCTTCATTCAGGATATCATTTAATGATGTCATTGTACCCTATTTTCTTACATCTGTCAGATCCACTGTGCATACTGTACTGTATAGTACAATGAAAATGCATAGTCCTATAATGCTTGTGTCTGCTACTAATATGCAGAATGATGACTTATGACTTTCACTTTTGAAATAACTTTTGGCATGAGGCGCACTTGCTAGTGGCACCATCTAGCGGCGGTGTGTTATATACTGCAGTTTTTTATTGTATTTACTTAGCATTTCAAATATCTAGTCCTATAATGTGTGTCCGCTACCAATATGCAGGATGAGCACTTTTCACTTGCTAGTGGCTCCATCTAGCGGCAGTCTCTTTTGCACTGTGAATTCTTTTTATTGTATTTATTTAACATCATTTAACTTTGACTTGAGGCGCACTTGTTAGTGGCGCCATCTAGCGGCAGTGTGTTATGTACTGGAGTTTTTTAATTTTATTTATTTAACATTTCAAATGTGTAGTCCAATAATGTGTTCACTACCAATATGCAGGATGACGACTTTCACTTTTGAAATCACTTGATTTAAGGCACACTTGCTAGTGGCACGATCTAGCGGCAGTGTGTTATGTACTTCAGTTTTTTAATTGTATTTATTTAACATCACTATAAGACACTTTTGTAAGTACTATCAACTGTCATTTTATCTAGGGCTGCATGATTAATTGAAAAAAGATCACAATCTCTATTCGACCCTACACACGATTTTAATTCGCCTTTCTACGAGTCAGCCATGTATATATTCAAGGTCAGGAGAGAAACATGGCAGTCGCACAAGTCTTCACAGCAACATTGACACCTTCAAATAGCATTAAAAGTGTCACATACTGTATTTATAAGGTATAGTTCACCCAAAAATGCCATTTCTGTCTTCATGTAATGATGTTTTCGCGGTCGCGAAATGGCACGTGAGCTGACCGTGAGCTGTTCGTTTACTACCGAGAACGCGCCCGTGCACGCATCACACCTAATGTATTGAACACAACCTGCATAGGCTGTGAATAACAGGTAAAGGTCTTATTGCACAGATTGATCGTTTGAGGGCCGTGCGGGTGGTTTGATTTGCATGTATGTGTTTTTTCTCATACTGACAACGGTCATGAGCCCCACTCGGAAGTGAAAGTGAAACCTGTGCACACATCATTTAAATGATCATATCACATTTTAGAGTTATGATTATGACAAGCATTTAATGTTTTTTTTCTTTCATAGCGAACACAAAGTGTTGTGCATGAAAATAAATGTTTACTGTGTCAGTATAACAACCCTAGCCTATATATAAAGTTGAATATAATGCAAGAAGGAATCTGAAAATGACAAAATTGTAATTTTACCAGTGAAAACAAATGGTCTAATAATGTTGTCAATAACAGATGACAAGCACATGTCTTAAACATAATAAATAAACTTTATAATTATGGATAGTTATATTCTGATGTCATAATTTTACTGTGAATCAACAAACATGACATATTGAAAGCCTGTTCAAGTCCACCATAATGTCTATAAAAAATTTAGCACTTTAAGCAACAGTAGACCTACACATAGGCCTAATATTATTTTCATTGTTTTACCATATGTTTGAGAATTAACAATAATAATAGGCTAATCATATTAACCTTTATTTTACATTTACAGAATTGTGAGAAAATTGTGATCTTGATTTTAAGCAAAAAAAAAAATTGTGATTCACATTTTTGCCAGAATCGTGCAGCCCTAATTGTATCAACTGTCATCATGACACAGATATGATGTATTTCAGTACAATTTTAACCTAAACGCGAACATATCTTGAAACACACCATATATCATTATCAAGTGTGAACTCAAAAAGTGGGGTGACAGTAAAGGGATTTAAAGGACCTTTTCAGACACGTTTTCTGAAAGAAAGGTTTGTTCTGCTGGGGATTGTTTTTCTATGGCTCTAAATCACCAATGACTCATTTTGTGTGTTCGTACCATGTAAAACGTTCAGGGAAACTGAGCTGCTCTACATCTACCTCTTCATGATGAATTGCTACAGACTGAGGACGTAGAATACTCTCAAGTTCATCTATTTTCATACCCTGTTTATTCAGCCGTAAAGCTCGTATGAAGTCCTTATATATAAATCAATAGAAAACCTTCAGTTGCCCTACAGTTCGCCTCTAGTATCACTATATGGTAAATCGTACGTTTTATGAATTACTACTCGAGTGTTTGGTAAAAAGGACAATCTTTAGATGAAGGTTTGGTTAAGCATTCATAACCTTTATGGCTGATGTGTGTTTTCTATAGCTGCTTTGCCTATGCAATAATATAGGATGCTGTTTGATATTCATAGCGATGAGGAAGGGTGACCTCAATACAGATGGGTTTTGTAAGGTTTTTATTCTAAGTATTTATTTGAAGGCTTTAAATATTTATTTAAATCCAATGCTTAGATTCAATTTGAACTTGTCTTTTGTTGCACTGACAAATAAAAAAAAATTTACTGTACAGAACAGAAAATGAGCCAAGGAAAGGGCAAGGATATTTCATTCGGTTTAACTGTTTATCAAATTTTGTAGAAAGTTTCATTCTATTTAACAATTTACTGCAGAATATCTTGCACCAAACGACCAAGGCTGAATTTGTGCTCATGCCTCATTGTTCCGAATGGTTCCATAAACATATTCCAGGGACAGCTGGATTCAAGAATACCTATTTCCATGGCCAATTTTTCCCAGCCTGAAGCAACCTGGGTTAAGGTCATAATGGTGGTGATGACTCAACCCGCTCTTTACAGGCTGCCGTGTGCCACTAAAACACACCATTAGACCTTTTAAAATCATTTAATAACCACATAAGTGTGATTATTTGATTATTTAAGATAACTATCATCATTGTGCACTTTACCTTTAAGCAGGTGTACAATAACCATTATTATGTCTTCCTATTAAGTTTTAAGAGGCACTTTTGGCCAGCGGAGAAATTAAAATGGTCGTGCCCAACTGAGTCTGGTTCTCTCAAGGTTTTTTTTCTTCACTCCCATCAGGTGAAGTTTTTTTTCCCTCTCCACTGTCGCCACTGCCTCGCATGGTTCAGGATTGGTAGAGCTACCCATCGATGAATTTGCTCTTCAGTGTTTGAACTCTCAGTAATGATTAAATCACACTGAACTGAGCTAAACTGAACTGAACTGAACTTAAACACTAAAACCTGAACCACACTGTTCCAGTTACTATGACCATTTATGTGAAGCTGCTTTGACACAATCTACATTGTAAAAGCGCTATACAAATAAAGCTGAATTGAATTGAATTGAACTTGGTTTTATCCAAAGCTGTATTTAGTCAGTGGATGCATTACCTGTGGATCAAACCCATGACATTGGCTTTGCTAGTGCATCGCTCTAATGTTTGAGCTGCAGAAGTGCCCTTTTTATTGTACTGTAGCAGTGTATTGTTTCAGTGCTCCATATTTGACTGTCTTGGGAGATTTTCTGAATCGGCTCAGAGATCACAATAAGCTCCGTGTTCACTTTTAAATTGACATTGCTCTTAATGTTTTTTGCCAGTCCTCCAAACCTCAAAGAAGTGATGAAATGTTTTCTCAAAATCTGGAGAGTGTTAGAAAACCATCTTTTCCCCCTTTGTTTGACTTTTCAAGGGATAGTTCACCAAAAAAACTCTAAAATACCTCACCGTTTTGTTATGATTTTCTTATATTTTCTTATCTAATCACAAAATTAGATATTTTGAAAAATGCTGGTTGATAATACTTATCGACTTGACTTGGAAGTCAATTCTTCAAAATATCTTATCTTGTGTTCAACTAAATAGAGAAACTCAAATGTGTTTTGAAAAAGCGAAGGGTGAGTAAATGATGACAGAATTTTTGGCTAAACAATTCCTTAATTCTTAGTCAATTGTTTCATTTTATGACAATACCTGTATCCAAATTTCTATTTACAATAAGTAGATAGCTAGATAGAGGGATGATGGATATGATACATGGAGGGATGAATGGATATGATGGATGGATGGATGGATCGATAGATAGAATCTTAGTACATAATATCATATTTTTTATTTAATCTTATTTTTTAGATCATTTCCAACGTTTCAGCATAATAAAACATACATAATTAAACAGATTTCTTAAAAAAGTGAAACTGTTATGACTCCATTTTGAAATGGCTGTGATAAGCAGTCATGTTTACGTCTAACTAAAGATTTAATTTCATGGTGCCACAAAAGCAGTTGTTACACAAACACATTATTATTCATTATTCAAGGGAGTTTTTGTTTTGCTAGCATTTCATTATAAGAATCCATTTAAATGAGCTGCCTTAAAAAAGTGAACATACTAAAGCTATTCAAAATTGACTGAAGGAGGACAGCATGTCTCTGCCCACACTGTTGAAAGGCTTATGCAACGGTTACATAAAATATAACAACATGTCAACGTCAAAGAAAAGCTTTAAATACGCTATTATACAAAAAAAAAATATTTCCATGCTGCACTTTTTTGTTAATGCACCTAATAATGTTTGATCAGACAGTTCCCAGTCAATTACTGTTAATTGCTGTATTCGCAGTTGCACCGTGCCGAAGAGGCCAGTAACAAACGGAAGTGGAGTTTTGGTGAAGCTTCAGACCCTGTGACTGAAGAGAAACTCAAGCTCATAGAAAAAGAGATGAAAGAACAAGAGACTCTGATTCAGGGTTACCATCAGGTAAGTCTTTCTCAAGGATAAAAATGGAGAGGAAAAAATGACCATTTCATCCCATGACTGATCAGTCAAAAAGCCAAAATGTTCAGGTGATCTACAGTAGAGAATATTGCATTGTGTTAGCTACACATGTTTTTTTTACCCAAAATAAATCTAAAAGTCTTGCCCTCTCATAATTTTTGCAGCAGTCATGAAGTTTTTCATGTTTTTACTGAATGTTCAACATTGGTGCCACTTTTTAGATTGTTTAAATGCATTATTGAAGGATTGGGCTTTAGTTTCAACAACAACAAAAAATCTTTCTGGCTGTAAATATTCCAAGGAAAGAATGGAAAAATGTTAACTTTATAGTTGGCCAAGCAAAATTAGTTGCAGGATTAGTCTTAAGGTGTGGATAGTAAATGTTCTTAACTTGTTTACAGCTCTAGTGGAATTAAGAATAAGGGGAGAATATACTTTTTCCAACTATAAGGAACATGGATTTTTTTTTTTGCGCAGATGGTGTTAACAGTTGTTCATTTGTGCCTTGCAAAATAATTTTTTTATTTAATTGGAGATCATCTTTGAATATTATTAGTATTTTCTTTAGCCCTCTCTTTTTTCTCATTATCAAGCCTCGAATTAAATAAGGAATTCTAAAACTAAACTTAATGGGTATGCCTTCATCGGACGGACGGACGGACGGACGGACGGACAGACAGACAGATAGATAGATAGATAGATAGAGAGATAGATACAGTAGGTGAGAGTTCAAAGTGACTATTACCGCCGCGTCATATACCGCCGCCGTTTGAAATAGGAGCCGCTTTGTTTTTAGTGTATGACCGCAGTTTGTGAATGAGCCGCCAGGGGTCGCAAAGGGACGGGATGCGAACCGACAGAAATAGCCCACACAGCAGCCTTAAATATGCTATTGTGCTTGTAAATGAGATTAAACAATAAGTCAAAGCCTTATAATTCCTTTATTAATCATTTAAAATTTGTTAACACGATTTATTGTTATTCTAAACTTTTCAAGTGCAAAGAGGATTCTTTTTGAAAAATAGAATTGAAGAAGTTAAAGACAACTAATATGAAAGCACAAACATTCAGTACAAATATTCTAAGTATGCCTAAATTAAAAAATTAAAGCAGTCTTTTAGCCTAAATGTAAAGAGATTTTCAGTGTTTGCTATTTTGGTAGGACTAACACAAGACCTTTTCATTTATGTTTTAATTTACCTTTTTATTTACATTTTCGTTGTTGATTATATTTTACTATTTAATTTTATGTCACAATTATTGTACATAATAATAAACGAATAATGAAAAATAATAAAAATAGGCCTTATGTATTTAAGGACATGTGGTGAAACACTAAGAAACGGTCAGGCGCATGGTCTAAAGAGCTTAAGTTGAATACTGCGTCATAAAATAATTTTGCCGCAGGACATATCTCGCAGGTTTGTTTTTTAATAATTTTCAGTTATTTTTTTTTGTTTCAAAACAACAATGTTCTCTTTAAAGTTCTCTTTAAAGTATAGCTGTTGTTTTGTTTTTTTTACTTAATGGCCCAGTATGTTTTGTATTTTAATTTCAATTTCAGTCACCTTGCATATGCATTTGAAATATAATGCGCGCATAACCGCGGAAAGAAAAAAAAAAACTGTCAAAGGTTAGAGCTAATTCATCAAAATTAGCTATATTAAAATACAGCATGTAAGTTAATACAGGCAGAGTGTGAACAAACTCAAGGCTTAGATATGCGCTTGCCTTTTAATGCATTTAAAAAGATTTGCGGCCTTTTTATAGGCTACATGCGATTATGGTGTATAATGTTTCTTTTATTATTTTTTATTTTGTATGGTAAAGAACAATGCACTGTATGTTATTAATATAAACTTAGGTTAAAATTTACTATTGATAAACGGGACCTACCTCAATCAGATCACTTAAAGTATAATAAAATAATGTTAACGTCAATGTTCTTCTTTAAAGTAAAATTGTTGTTTTGTTGTTTTACTTAATGGATCAGTATGTTTTGTATTTTAATTTTAATTTCAGTCACCTTAAATATGCATATGAAATATAGGCTAATGCGCGCATAACCGCGAAAAAAGAAGAAAAAGCTGTCAAAGGTTTGGCCAGTGTGTTTTTTTGTCTAATAAATGATATATATATATTTTTTTTACTTTAAAACTTTAAAACAGATTGCTATTTTTCTAATGACATATGATTTAATAAATGTGTATTTTTAAAATTTCTCTTGTTTGTATTTTTTAACTGCACTTTTAAGGAAATATTTTAGTAGCCTACATCAAAAAGTGTGGTTATAATGACATCTGACTGGCTAATCCAGCAAAAAAGTCACTAAAATGTAGTATTTAAATCTCATAGTTAAATGGAAACTGAGGCGTATAACTGCAAAAAGGTCCACTTGAGAAAAAAAGAATCATCCCTTTCACCAGGCTGGCAACGGGCCTCATGTGTGCGCATGAGTCGATATGTTGCCTTTTTATAGTCTACATGCTACTATGATGTATAATAATGTTGTTATTGTTGTTTTGTCTGGTAACCTCAGGCTAAAACTTATAATTCATAAACGTGTTAGAAATAAAGCATGAAAAACACGTTAAAAACTATTTCTTTTGCGTATAATCGGGAAAAAAGTCATACAGTTGGTTAAGAGGATATATTTATTCTGAGGAAAAAAAGCAAATAGAAATACAAAAATAACTGAATGTTTTCTTTTAAGTTGTCTCTAATACTGAAGACGTCGGTGGGCGCTAACAGAGGTTCGTGTGGACCGTAGAAATTCCTTCACTCTGTCCTTTATGCGTTGGTCAGGTATATATATATATATATATATATATATATATATATATATATATATATATATATATATATATATATATATATATTAATAAACTTCACAGCCACAAATATAAATAACACAACTTGTACTAAAACTGGGCGAGGATTTGAAAGAATATCCTTCAATATTAGAATATGCTTGAATATCAGAATATGCTTGTTATATAATTTAAAATCTTTTTCCTCTGGTCCTATTTCTGCATACAAATTTTTTCACTCGCCACTCTGCCAGGAACTTCGCCGCTGGAGAGCACCGTTAACGATCTCAATCTTATGGCTCATTCTTCACGAATATAGAATTAAAATAATGGCGCGTTAGGTTTATTGTGCATCCCGCGGGTGCAACCAACAAGGGTTGTGCATTTTAGTTTAACTTTTTGAGCGTTATAAGCAGTTCGGTGTTAGTTTTTATATAAATATATCAAGCCGAAACTAAACAGCGCATTCTCTCCGCCTCCTCGTTCATAACCAGCTGGACACGCTACTGAAGCAAGCAGGAGAGATAGCCTACTCGGTCATTCATAATCTTAGCTGATGTATCGGAGTCTATAGAATATATTAAAGAGGAATGTTCTTTTAACAGTCCCGATACATTTAATCTTTTTATTTTATTTTTTTTTACTTTTTTTCCTGTCATTTCTCTTCATCAAATTATTTTTTAAGCTGCTTGATTATGTTAAAACAGAAATCAGAGCCCATCAATTGAGAGCGATGCATGTCATGTGTTGCATAATTGCCTTTTTTCCTGTGCGTGCGTGATCAATTTCTGATCCTTTTTTGCTCGGGCTCTCACACACAACCTTTGTCTGCTGTGTCTTTAATATGGTGTGTAGATTATTATGCGTTATTGAAACATCAAGGGGGACGCAGCAAAGTAACTTATAAATTAAAATTGTATTATTTTATGCAACAGCCTTACATTTAAAGCAAAAGCATTTTAAGCAAAAAGACCTCAAGGCTAGATGTTTTCTTTCCCTTTTTTATTTATTTGTTTATTTTGGCGCATATGTGCGATAGGAAAGCTAGTGTAATTAGGCAAGCCATCTTTCCCAGACTCGGGGCAAATTCCGCCTTTCCTTTCACTCCGTTCCGAAGCCCCAGCTGGCCCTCCTGCCATCCACTGCGTAAAACATATGCTGGATAAGTTGACGGTTCATTCCGCTGTGGCGATCACAGACTAATAAAGGGACTAAACCGAAAAGAAAATGAACGAACGAATGAATGAATAAATTAATAATAATAAAATAAAAATAAGGTAATAATGTTTAAACACAAATGCCGCGTAAGCGGCCTTTTTACTTTTAGAGATGGTACATTTGAATTGCCTCTTCCCACTTCCCCCACCTCAAAATTGAAAGTTGCAAAGAGAACTATAGCTCATTTACACCTTGATGTAGCCTCAATAGCAAAGAGCATAGCCCATTTACATCTCAACACAGAGCAAGTTTAGCGGAAGAATGTCAAATCAGAATCACGCAGATGAAGCACACCAGCTACTACTTTCATGAAACTATTAAATGTGTATTGTCGCAAGTTACTGTAGCCTACGTCTTTTTTTGGGAAAGCGCCCCATGTCCGCTAGTGCCGCGCGCCTCTTTCTCTGGGCAAAAAGGAGTTGATTTTTTTAATATTAAATATATAGAACAAATATTTTAGCACATCGAAAGTAATTAAATTACCTGTCTTTTGATTAAAACCTTTATGCAAAAAGATCAGAAAAAAAGGCAATATATGCGACATGACATCGCTCTCATGCCACGATTTGAGGATAAATTCGCTTTTAGGTGCTGCTTTGAATAAAATAAAACTATTAAAAAGCACATTAAAGACACTCATAAAATAAAACATTAATAAAGTAGTATCTTATGAAAAAACACCAATTGACGGGCTCTGCTTTCGGTTTTAAAAGAATCAAGCAGCTTTAAAAATATAATTTGCTGAAGAGAAATGACAGGGGAAAAAAGATTAAACATATCGGCACTGTAAAAAGAACATTCCTCTTTGATATATTCTTTCGACTCCGACACATCAGCTAAGATTATGAACGACGGAATGTCTCTCTTGCTTCAGTGGCGTGTCCCGCTGGTTATAAACGAGGAGGCGGAGAGAATGCGCTGCTTAGTTTCGGCTCGATATATTTAATTAAAAACTAACACCGAACTGCTTATAACGCTCAAAAAAGTTAAACTAAAATGCACAACTCTTGTTGGTTGCACCTGCTGGATGCACAATGAACCTAACGCGCCATTATTTTAATTCTATATTCGTGAAGAGTGAGCCAACCGCATATGCTAAGTCAGTCCTGTTGGTCGGGACTCTCTGCTTTATAACTTATTAGTTTATTACAATAATCACACTTAGCTTTGCCATCGTTCTTCAACACATATAGCCACTCAACACATCTTGCGGTCCATCTTTAATGTTTAGATTATTGAAGGTGCTATTGATGTTTTGAGAAAAAAAATGAATAGCAGGCTACTGAAACTAAATTATTAAAAATAAACTTGCGGGACTTCGTTTATGTCCTGCGGCAACATTATTTTTATTACACTTTAAGTGATCTGCTTGAGGTAGGTCACGTTTATCAATGGTAAGTTTTAGCCTAAGTTTACATCAATAACATAATGTGCGTCCTTTACCATACAAAAAAAGTAAAAAAAAAAAAAAAAACATTTATTTATATTTTAAATGCATTAAAAAGCAAGCGCATATCTTAGCCTTGAGTTTGTTCACACTCTGCCTGTATTAACATAAATGCTGTATTTTAATATAGCTAATTTTGATTAGCTTTAACTGACAGCCTTTTCTTCTTTTTCCGCGGTTATGCGGCATTATATTTCACACGCATATGCAAGGTGACTGAATATGAAATTAAAATACAAAACTTACTGAGCCATTAAGTAAAAAAAACAAAACAAAACAGTTATACTTTAAAGCAGAACATTGACGTTTTGAAACAAAAAACGGAACTGAAACTAAATTATTAAAAATAAACCTGCCAGACTTAATTTATGTCCTATTTTCATTATTTATTTATTTTCATTATTCGTTTATTATTATGTACTGAAACATAAAATGAGATAGTAAAATATAATCAACAACGAAAATGTAAATAAAAACGTAAATTAAAAACATAAATGAAAATATCTTGTCTTAGTCCTATCAAAATAGCAAACTACATCTCTCTATATTTAGACTAAAAGACTGCTTTATTTATTTATTTATTTATTTATTTAAGACTACTTATTTGTACTGAATGTTTATGCTTTCACTTTAGTTGTCTTTCATTTCTTCATTCTATTTTCCAAAACGAATCCTCTTTGCACTTAAAAAGTTTACAATAAACCAGGTAAACAAATTTTAAATGTAAGTTGAGGTGATCGCAAGTTCACAACTGTGAGGTGATGTGCTCTACCGGCAGGATAATCTATATTATTTTGCTGTTTTTCATATGCGCACGTTTAAGATTTGAGATAATAACATTGCCATGATAGTCAAAGAAATCAAAACATTATTTTCACCCCAACGCAATTTAATCGGGCACTGAAGGCTAATAACTTAATTCTTATATTTGCTTTTTGACTTCTCACCATGTATCTTTTCTACAGCATAGTATAGTGTAAGAGCATGTCTATTACCAGAAAAACTAAATTAAAATTATATTTTAATTGAACACATCACATCACACACAGTAAGCTACGCCTACAGAACAGTCTGTTTAGCATTGTGAAAAGGCAAAGCTGAATATCTGTGGTTAAAGTGCCACCCAGCGGTCAAATGCTGCTGGCGCATCAAGTACCGCCGTCGCCGCGGTATGAATGGCGGCACAAGGAACACATTGAAGTAGTAACATCTGTAGATACACACATACATACATACATACATGCATACATACATGCATACATACATACATACATACAGATGTGGCTATTGAGAATGTGCTAGTAAATGAACGTGACCACACGCAGTGCTGCTGTACTGCGCGGCACAACACAAAATAGTCTAACACAAGAAAGACATGACCAGATGGATGGATGGATAGAATTGTAGTACATATTATCATATTTTTAAAGACCTTATTTTTCTTATCTATTCTTATCTAATTTTTTTTAGATCATTTTCAACATTTCAGCGTAATAATACATATGTAATTAAACAGAGTTCTTTTAAACTGACACTATTATGACTCTGAATTTGTAATAACGTTGGTAATTACTTTTCACATTTCCTATAATTACCAAAGTACTCATGCCCTTTCCATAAAACCAAATCCAATTAATTTTTATCTGGAATTGCGTTTCATTCTAATGCTCGCTCTGAACATATTTGCATTTGAGTCATTAGTATTCATATGCTGCAAATACTCCCAGAGCAAAACATGTCTGAAACTTATTTCCGCTGCTTTTAACAGGAGAACGAGAAGCTGTATCTGCAAATGAAAGCACTCCAAGCTCAAAGCAAACAGAACGAGGAGGCTTTGTTCATGGAGAACCAGAGACTTCTCACTGAGCTCTCCTTCGCTAGGTCAGTGCTCTCAATGTGTCATAATACATATCACAGCAGGTTTGTACTGCTCATGCTGTTCTTTGCAGCAGCTGATATAAAAGCACTGAATATTCATTCCCCAGGGACCGGATGAACACAAACAACATTCAAAGAACCATCAGAGAGAGAAGCATTGTTGACCAAAGCTTCAACATTGCAGAGTTGACAAGTCAGGTACAAGCTGCACAGGTAAGTGAACAGTAGCTCTCCTCCAAAACCCAGCAAACTGCCTACGTAGACAGAATTTAACATCCATGGTCTGTGTGTTTAGAAAAAGGAAGAACGGCTCCAAGAGGAGGTCCGCAGGCTGAAGCAGGAGAAACAAGCTCTGCATGTAGATCTGGAGATGATGAGGAAAGAGAGGGATCTTGCTAAAGTTCAGGCTGTGTGTAAATCAGGTGAGCACTTCAGATATCAAAGTGCTACAGTCTTTTTACATCTTATAATTGTCATCTTTAATTGAGCTGAGAATTGATTCAGATGTCCCAACTCCTGATTTGTTTCGAGCGCCGAAAACGTAGCATTTTGGAAACGCTAAAGAGGCCGTATCATTCTAAAATGCTGCTGCTCCATCTCAGTGTGGATGGGGGAAAAAGGAGACATCTTAAAACGGAGGCGCGGCTGCAGACATTCGCCTCTGATTGGGGCTTTTCCTCAATATTAAGTAGCCTACACACAGTCCTGCATCCTCTCCTTGTAAGTTCAGACTTCGCAAGTTTGATATGGAAAACCGACTCCCGAGAACATGTCGGTAAATCTTCAAAGGAAACAGTGTACTTTATAACCTTATTCACATCATCCTGGCTACGTTGTTTCACTCTCCTAACAATAAAATGAAAACATGATATAAGGAACTGCTATTTTCTTTTTGATATTAACAACTTAACAGACAGCAGAAATGTTGAGGCGTTGTGCTGCATATATGAGCGTCATCTTCACTGTTTGAGCCTATAACATTACAGCCTCCTTTCATTTACATTGAAAATGCGAAACATACCCTCTCTTTTGCTGAATATCAGTTTTAATAATCAATAATGGCCATTCTAAAAGTATAACGTACAATAAGTTTATACATTATAGGAAATGAAGGCAAGCAATCAGTCAATATGCAGAATGTACGTGGTTAGATTGATTATTAACTGATCTTTGTGCTCAGTCAAAACACGTTACCTGAGAACAAGTAATAGATTCAAAAGACCAAAGTCAGGGAATATGTCATTAGATATACACAACAAGATAAGTTAAATATCACGTTTAACAAACAGTGAGAATAGATCCAGCGGTAGATCCTTGATGAACACTCCAACGAGCACAACTATCATCTGGTTTGATAGGCTGCAGCGCATGCCAGAGAACATGTGTGTGTTCACATGATGTGAGTTTTCAGTGTTTTGGTGTATATGAAGAGTTTTTCAGAACAGACAGACAGACACACACACACCTCCTTCATGGTTTTTTATTGACTCCGCAAACTCTATCCACCAAGCAATTTTGTGTTTAATAGTCATCTAAACATCGATAGGTTGGCTAAAACAGGGCTAAATTTGGGCTGTGGGTTCAATGGACATTTAAGAATAGCCCAAAACTAGACTAAATCATTAAAACACACAGATTAGATAGGCTTCACATGTTGTGTAGTTATTCATTCGTGTCATTTTTGATGACTAGTCTTGTTTTGAGCTATTCTTTAACTGTTCTTAGTTTTTCAATGATAAATTTATCAGAAAGAAAATCTATCAAATTTAGCTTTCAATTTAGTCTTAGTTTAGTCAACAGTTTATGCTGCTGTATATGTTTAATGTATGTAGCAGAGGCCAGCTAGTGAAGTGTTGTGCAGGCAAACTGCACTTTAATTCATCACAGTTAATTAATCGTGAAGGCTTCTCTAAGCCGCTTTCCTGTTGCACAGAACAAAATGAAAGTGCTGCAATTAAACAAAGTAATGCCAGGTTACCAACTGTACCCTAGTTTAAAGTTCGAAGTATGTACACCGAGGCTAATACGCACACCGGATTAACTATATCAGCGGCCGTTCCCATATCACGTCTTTTCTGCTTGCAAGTTTGTTATCTCTAATGTAAGAATATATGACAATATGCGTGCACAAGCGGAGCAATGCGTCTTTCCCGGCGCACACAGTAGAAAACATCTCACAGTGAGAATGTTCCGTTGCAATGTAAACAAATATATATGTGAGAGAATTATTATTAAAATGATTATGAATGCATGAACGCAGATGGCAACAGCAGTTGATCTAAATAGCTACTTAATATAAAGCTTGAATTTACATTAGACATGATAACTGTGAACCCATGATTATTCTCCAGACTATATAATCGTACAACCAAAATCTATAATTGTTGCATCCTATGCAGATCAAAAAAATAACATTTGAATGTGTCTGAATGTAGAAGAAAAAAAAAGTCTATCGTACAATGCTCTGATATTATGTATTTTCAAAATACAATATATTAACATTTTAATGTAGAAAAAACCAACGTGGGTGTCTTAAGGAAAAATACAGCATATGGGCTCTTATATGTAGTTGGGTCATCACTCATATAGCAAGTTATATCTCTCCGGCCCTTTGTTTGGGATGCTTTTCATGAACTGGCCCCCATGACAAACTTATTGATATCCCTGGTCTAGGACCTCAATACATTACAGATATTCTCACTGAATACAAACTTAATAGATCACTCAGATCATTAGGATCAAGTAAATTAGAAATTCCAAGAGTTCAGTCAAAAAAGGGTGAATCCACTATCAGCTACTATGCCCCCTGCTGCTGGAATCAGCTTTCAGAAATGATCAGATGTGCTCCAACATTAGGCACATTTAAATCAAGACTTCAATCCCATCTGTTTAGCTGTGTTTACTGAGTGAGCACTGTGTGATATGTGAACAGATCATGCTATTGTGTCTTTCTTTTCTTTTTTTCATTCCTTTAAAACCTGTTTTAACACTTTTTAATCAGTTTTTAATAATTTTTTTTCTTTGTTGTTTCTATTTTTGTAGACTTCCATTTAATGTTTCTTTTATTCTTGTTTATGTAAAGTGCTTTGAATTACCATTGTGTATGAAATGTGCTATATAAATACACTTGCCTTGTTTTGCCTACTAATTGAAAAACCCTGTTTTAGCCCATTCTAATCTTAGCAGCAATAACCATTTTGCTTTTTCTGTCAGGCGATAAAGGTTTCGAATTGAAACTGCTCCATGACAAACATCGAGAGGAGGTCACAGAGCTGAAGAAAAGACTGCAGTGGTACGCCAAGAACCAGGAACTACTGGACAAAGATGCAGCCAGACTCCACGCCGCCACCGCTGAGATTCAAAAGCTCACTGAGCAGGTAGAAAAGCTAAAAGCGGAGGTTAGCAGGAGGGCCAATGAGCAACAAAGAAAGGCAAAAGAAAAAGCAGGTGAAGCAAAAAGAATCCAAGACCTAGAGCGACAGGTCAGTCACTATGACATGCTCTCTCTCTCTTTCTCTCTCTCCAGATAGCATTGTTGCTGTGGGTACTGCTTATTTAAGCCACGTTCTTTTTTGGGCTCGATTTCCTGAGCGCCAGAATTATTCAGCCGTGTCCTTGAGCAGCTGGCCATCTGTCTGGATAGTCAGTTTTGCAAACTCCTCTTAATGTTATGCTTTTTTTATTCGACTGATATTCATCCATCATATCTGGATGAATAAATTTAATAGCTTTCTCATACATTCTTTTGTATGAGTTTTGTTGTCAAAACTTTGTTTTGGTCAACTCTGGCTTGCAACATTTCACAAACCCTTCAGTTCACCAACACATATACATTTGTTGTGCCTTCTATGATTTTCTATTATCAGCATTTTAAAAAAATATATATAATTTTATTTACATTTAATTATACACGGTCAAAAGTTTGGGGTCAGTAGGATTTTTAAATGTTTTAAAATGAGCTTCTCCTGCTCACCAAGGCTGCATTTATTTAATCGAAAAACAGTACAAATTGTAAAATGTTATTTCACTAAAATAACTGTTCAAAAGTAGTTTATACTTTATTTAATAATTTATTGTATTGACTTTAATGATGAATTTAATTTTCAGCTTAATTACTACAGTCTTCAAGGTCACATGATCCTTCAGAAATCACCCTAATATTAATTGTTATTGTTCATTATTATTATTATTAATAATAATATTATTATTAATGGTAAAAGTAAAAAAAAGAAATAATCACTGAGGTAATAATTACATTTGAAACTCCATACAATAAGTAATAAATAAGTATTTAACAATTTAACATTTATATATATTTTAATTGTATAGGTATATAGATTACACCAAAATCATCATTACAATTCCATGCAAAACATCATGCCATATATTTCAGGTGTTCTGGGGTATTCAGTAGGGTACTGGGAAATACAAACTGAAATGAATTGTATTATTTAATAAAAATCCTTGCCATGGTCTGTGCATGACTCTGCATTCATGAAACTAATATAGTGGCAGCTCAGTCCTATTCACTCAGGAAAAAGACAGATTAATAGTAATACGACATAAAATAAAATCCATATGCTTTTTGTCTTTATGGTTAAAACGTTTATGGTGCATGTATGTATGTTCAGGGCTTCCCACACATAAACTTTACTTGGCAGGGCCACCCATGTATATTAACGGCCACCCAAGTTTATTTGGTGACATTTATTTTTTACTATTATCATCCTTTTACTTTTTTTTTGTATCCACCCAAGAGCCAAACATCTGCGATCCATTACCAGAAGACACTTTTCTCTTGCCCTACAGGTTTTTTTACTTGTTGTTTGTTGAACTTGTTGTTTCTACTTGTTGAACCCACTTCTTGATTTAAAGAATTTTCTGATATTTGGACTTGAAATGAGACAAAAAAAATCTTAAGTAAAGCATTTTTTGTAGTGCATCTATCACTCATGTTCTCATTTCCTCTCTCAGCTCAAACAGAAGGAAGAACTCTTGAAACGCAGGCATCCAAATTCTCTGCCAGCCCTGATTTTGGCAGCTGCGTCTACCGGGGCTGAAGAAGATCGACTGGATGTCCGTTCTCTAGCTCAGTCCTCTCAGACAGCGGCTTTGTTAGAGAGACGTGTTCATCGCCTGGAGGCAGAGCTGGAGGGCCGAGATGAAGCAGCCAAACGCAGCCTCCGAGCAATGGAACAACAGTATCACAGAATCAAAGTACTCTTTTCATATACAGATTACGTGTTCTTAAATTTGCATATAAGGACTAAAAACACAATTATTAAACTGGTTTGTACTGCTGGAACATGATATAGCTGGTTTCACTGTTCACAGCATTTCTGTTTTTATTTAGTATGGGGACACGTAATTCAAAGTATTTGTCTGTTTTTTAAGCATGTTTTTTTTTTTACCAGAGCTCGCAGCTGGATCGATCTGTTTCCAGAAAATAAGTTTGCTGAGAAAATAAGGTTTCTATTTATAGTCTTAAGTGCACAGGGCTTATAATATGCCGTCTGAGTGGCATCATTTCATTCATTTCTAAACCCTGCTGTGTTCTACACGACTTGAATTTAGAAAGAGATGCTGATTCCAAGTAATGTTGGATAGTTACTCTATATTTGGTCAGTGTTTGAAAGTATTAATTTAACAGTAAATTCACCAAGGCCGAGTTTTCTTTGCTTAAAAACACACAAAAACATATTTTTTAAATATTACTAGCAAAGATGGATTTTAACATTAGTTTGTCATTAGTGCAGTCTTCATAAAAGCATTTATTTTTATCAAAGTAGAAAGCAGTTTTGCTGCTTCGTATAAATATTTTTGTGAAAAATGTAAAACAATTTTTCAGGGTTCTTTGATCTAAAAAGATCCTATCCCTTTAAGTTGGCTAAACACTTTGGTAGTTAGACTCTTGAGTCAGTAAAAACCGTCAGATCACACGATTTGTTTTGTCGATTACGATAGTCACTATGTCAGATTATTCAATTTTTATTTTGTTTTATTTTTATTAATAGTATAAATAAAAATCTAAATAATAAATAAAATCTTGACTTGTCATGTGTAACAAAATTGTGTATTGCTATAACATTATTTCTTATCTCAAATTAATTTTATTTAATCTTATTTCAATCCAAATAAACACTGATGCTTGCTGACAATGACATGGATAGGATCAAATTTATGATTTCTTGTTGATATTAAGATGTTAAAAATGAAATTTAAAGCACATAAGCAGCAGCAAGGAAAAATCAGATGCTCGAGACATAGTATTTAAAATAATGACATATTCAAAAAATTGCAAATATATAACTGAGGTTTGTGATACAACAATCACAGTAAAGCATTCATTAAATCCTTATTTTCCACAGAGCGAAACAACAAATCATCCTCCAGTATAGTTAAGTAGTGGGGCGGCACAAACAAAAATATAATTAGTATATTTTTCTTGGGAAAAAAAAAGTTCATCTTTAATGTATCTTTTGCTGGTCAGTTATTTATAAACAAGAATAACGAATAATATTTGAGGTGAAGCAATTCATAACAAATCAGCTGTATGCACCAAAACACGCACTGCCCTGAGATTTTGTTGGTTTGTTAAATAAAATAATATTCTAGCCTAAATTAAATGAAAGTGAAATATTCACAGTTTTAGAGAAGCCTATATTAAAATGTTTTCACAATTAAAGACAAATTTAAATAAGCAAGGAATAATTTTACTTAATGTTTTAAAATTTTGTTAATGTATTCGCAGCACTGAACATGTTCCCAGATTACATTGGAAGAACAAACTCTGTTGGAAGGGTGAGAGAACTCAAAAAACTCAGTGTGATGGGAATGTCTGCGTATTATTGTCAATCTGTCAGATAAAATTGCTTAAAACACCTTAATATCTTATAAAAGGTAGTAAAAGTTTGCATAACCAATGATTGATCTTATCTACTCATGACCCATGCATAAATAAATATGTAGCCTATTTTTTTTGATTACCTGACCAGCGCATTAACGGCAGCACCTGCTTATAAACGAGAAGTTCTGAGCTTTTATTGCACAGTGTCAACAACATGACAGAACTTGTCGTGAAGAATGAAGAAAAAAATTCAGTATGCTAGACTTTCTGTGATGGTGTCATGAGGCATCGCAGGCATGGTATCGGTTGTTGTGAACTATGCCACATTACACGAGGAGAATCGTCAACACGTCAAGGAAATCGTTTCGAAATTGTGACAAATTCATGTGATCTGACCGGGGCTTAAGTTGTGGTCATTGAGTTGTTTACTCACTTCAAAAATTTTATATTTTATTTAAAGTTTTTTTTTTTTTTTACAATCAAAGAAATTTGATTAACTTTAATTAGCATGTTTAATATTTCATGAACATATTTTTAGCATATTGCTTGCATGGATTTGTATGTTTTACGGTAGATGCCAGAGCTGGCATGTACTAGATCAGGGATCACCAAACTTTTTCCTGGAGGGCCGGTGTCCTGCAGATTTTACCTCCAACCCAAATCAAACACACCTGAACAGCTAATCAAGGTCTTATATGCATACTTGAAACACTCAGGCAGGTGTGCATATAATAATATAAAAATATTTAAAAGAGAGATTTGTGAGGGTTGTACTTCTATATGCTGAGCGCTGTACATTAAATGCTCTGTATTTAAAGTCTGTCCCTAAAATTCCTTAAATTTGAAATTTTTGAAAAAAAGTAAGTTCATTTAGTTAGACAAGAAATGAGGTACCTAGTAAGAACATCTTAAAGGTCTGGTTTGGAGTTTTGGAAGTCTTGGAGTTTTTGTTTCGATTATGTCTTATAAAAAGAATCTTAAATAGGTTTCAATCTAATGTATTTTGAAAAGAAATTGATAATCCAAAAAAAACAATTCACATAATATATAACGCACCCAACAATGAAAATTATGCCACCAATTACTAAGCCTTTCACTTGCTCCAAACCCTGTATGAGTTTCTTTCTTCTATTAAACAAAAATAAGTTATTTTAAAATATATTTGGAACCTGTAGCCATTGACTTCTACAGTATGTGTTTTTTTTATACTATGGAAGTAAATGGCTACCAGTTTCTTACAATCATTAATTGATCTTCTTTTGCGTTCAACAGTAAAAAGAAACTCTTAACAGGTAAAATGTATAAAATTTCTGGGTGGATCATTTAAGCTTTATAAATGTAAATTATGCTTGCAATTATGTCTGCATACAATGTGTTTTTCTCTTCTTCAGCTCCAGTATGAACAGCAGATCTCAGATTTGGAGCAGCGTTTGTCTGAGAAGAGCCACAGCTATCCAGCCATCTCATCAGAGCTGATTAAATCCCACACTCAGACTTTAAAAGCAGAGCTGGAGGAAGTGAAGGAGGTCCATCAGAAGCAAGTGAGCGTCCTCCAGGCAGAAGTGGACTCTCTGCAAGAACAGCTCCGCCAGGCCCAGGCTTCAACACAAACAGAGAAGCCTGCCCGCAGCCCCTCACGCCACCAGCTCCACGCAGAGGCCGCACAAGCAGCCCGCATAGAGAGACTGACCCAAGAGCTGAACTCCAAGAGCCGCAGCATTCAGGAGCTGACCCGCACCATAGAACGTCTGCAGAGAGAAAGGAGGACCATGCTGTCAGGTCCTAGCCATGAAAGGCCCAACAATGAGCCCAAGCGACATTTGGGCACAGCCAAAGACACAAAAAAACCCTCAGTGGAAACTTTCCCTCCGACTCAAGATGAGAAGGACTATCATCCTGGAGCCTTCTCAGGAACACACATCTCTGAGGTGCAGCTGGAAAATGATAGTTTGAGGACTAAATTAGAGGAGCTGGAAGTACTGAGAGAAAAGGAGAAGGTTTCACTGCAGGCTGCGGTCACGCATGCACAGAATCAGCTTCTCAGGTAAACCTCTTGTAAAAATTTATGAAGCCCTCTTATGGTTTGACTGCTACAGTCCCATTTGGCATTTGGGCTTGTCAAGCTCAAAATGAAATCAAAGATTTCCTGTTTTTTTTCATCAAGAAAATTAACCACTGTTGTTTGAAAAATCATCTTATGTGGAAAACTAAATGGTATTTAAATTAAATTACGTACAGCAAAAAATATGAACAATAATTAACCATGATTTGTGTTTACAAATACATTTAATTACATTAAAGGGCACCTATGATGAAAACCATCTTTTGTAAGCTGTTTGGACAGAACTTTGTGTACGTATAGTGTGTCCACAGTCATATTGGGTTAATATAAACACAATAAGCCTCTTTTTTAAATTCATGACGTTAGAATTAGATCCAAATCCCTCCCATTTCGAGACCCACCACAAAGTGATGTCGAAGGCCCACCAAATTGATTGACAGCCGCGTATTAACATGTCTCCGTTTGCATATAATCATATCAGTAAGACAGGAGTGCAAAAAGCAAATGGATTATCTTCAGCTCTCTGTGATCAATCATCATCAGTGTGACCAAGAATGTGTTTTACTCATTTAACCTTGCGTGACTCATCGTTGCAGAAAGGCTTGAATTAACTCCACAACAAATACATCAAACAATCATACTGTAGTATTTCTTACAAACGTTACGTAAGATCTGCTTCCTTCATGTCTGTCACTGTGCTGTTTATCTGACGCAGCCGAGGTGGAGATTGATGCGCACTGACAGGCATGTGGGAACGGTGGGTGGGGAGAACTAGAATTAAAGGTACAGGCAGCAAAAACTGAAAAAAATTCAAACTCAAATTCAAATTCAACTCAAAAAATTCTGGGGACCCAAAAGACTTATCTTAAATCTTGAAAAAAAGGGTAAAAATAGGTGCCATTTAACTACTGGTAATTGGATAGAGCCAGTAATAAAGAGGTAGCTAACAAGTTAATATGAGCTATTAGATATGCCCATGTCGTTGATCTCTGCTCACGTTTTCTTTCTTGTCTGTTTGTTGTAAAGAAGGAATTTTAAAAAATCTGTCCAATATTGCATTGCAAAAAACTAGTTTTAAATTGTGTATATAACTTGACAAATGGCCATGGAATAAGCAGAATTATTAATGCCTTGCTGTGCATTAAAGCACTTAATGGTGGCATTTAAACAAAAATAGAATACCACATCTTAAAAAATTGGTATTTAATCAAAGAAACATGATAGGACCTTGGGTAATTAACAAATGTGAAAAATATTAAGCCTAATATTTTTATTATATAAATTTTGAATGTATATTATATAATGAAATTTTAAATTTATAATATATAATATCAAACAAATTAGATATAATTATGTGTAAAATATAAGTAGTCATTAAAATATATATACATATATATACATATTTTAAACTGATTACATCTTAAATAACAGTTTTTCCACATATAAATAAATATATAGACACACACACACATAACAAAATACAGAAGTTTTTTTTTCTTTCCACTTGGCATGCATTATTAAAAAACATAACACTCTCACCAGTCTTTACTCCTTATATGCATCTATACCCCAGTTTGTCACAAGGGCATAAATGAAATGTTCATGTGTTAAAGTGAAACTGCTGAACTGCAGTTAAAGTCAGACATTCTGCTGATTTAATTCAAAAGGGCACTTTTTTGTGAGACGGCTTACCAGTCAGGTATACATTCGCGCTAAAATATCAAGGTGAAATATATATATATATATATATATATATATATATATATATATATATATATATATATATATATATATATATATATATTTTTTTTTTTTTTTTTTTTTTTTTTTTTTTTTTATCATGCGATAAGAGTCTCGCGTTAATGCCAATAACGGCCCACCACTAATATTTTTATTTTACATATTTGTTGCTATATAATAGTAGATCAAAATTATGAATGTATATTCTGAAATGTCCAACATTTTGCTATAATTATGTGTAGAATGTAAATATGTATTAAATATATTATTATTATTATTATTATTATTATTATTATTATTATTATTATATAAAAGTATATAAAATAAAATAATAAAATAAAAATCCATATTTATTCAAACATGTCAAATAAACTGTAAAGAACTGTAGGATTTACATAATTTCTATACTTCATTCATTTATACAATGATGTTTCAGAATTGAAGAGCAGAATGCTGAGCAGCTCACTTCAGTCAAGGCTGAGCATCGTAAAGAGATTGAGCATCTTCTGGCTCGTCATGCCCTTGAGCATTCCTCCTCCAGAGTGGCTGAACTCACCAGTCAACTCAACACACAAGAGGTCTGCACTTAAACTAATGAACTTCAACATGTCTGTTTATATGGCTGTGTGCAACAATTGGCACTGTACAGTATCTCACCTTGACACTAAAAACACCAAAGCCCTTGATTTGTTTCACTAGAAAAGAACTGATATAATTTGACTGCATCTTGAATCACTTTGAATCCTGAATCTTTGTTATTTTTACTACTCAGATCATAGTACAACATTTACAAGGGCAAGTAAAAGAGCTCCAGGGAACCAAAGAAGCTCTGGCTGTGACGAAGCTCAGAGAGGAGACCCTGCAGAATCAGGTAAAGTCTGACTTTACTGAGGTTTAGTGATTTCAGTTTCTGTAAACACAAGGTTTTTCATTTGCTTTCTGCTTTTTTGCTTTCTTTTTCTGTGCATCAATAGCTGTCTAAACTTCTAGAAGAGCTAAAAGAGGCCAAAGAAGCCCACAGTCCTGAACTAAAACACTTCACTAGCCTAGAGCAAAAAATTCAGTCCATGGAATTCAGATACAGTCAACGAGAGAAACAACTTCAGCAGGTAAAACACCCACACATTCTTCTATATGTGCTATACTGTTCAAAAGTATTGAGTCAGAAAGATTTGTTTATAGTCATAAGGGGATAGGTCACCCAAAAATGAACATTTCCTCATTGTTTACTCGAATGGTTCTAAACTCGATGTTCTAAACTTTAGAACACTAGAGAGGTTCTAAACTTTTATGATGTTATTTCTACTGCAGATGCCTTTTACTGTTTCAAAACATAAAAAATGTGATCCATGTATACTGTATTAGTAACCAAACACCAACCAAAGTACACCCACCCTATCCCTGACAGAGCATAAAAACATATGCATATATATATATATATATATATATATATATATATATATATATATATATATATATATATATATATATATATATATATATATATATATATATATATATATATAATATAATATAATATAATGAAAAGGGCAATTTGTAAAATACATTAAGAAAATGACAGTTCAACTTGTACACTGCCTTACAGAAGTCTTGTCGTCGATCCCAATTGTAAGAGCAACAAATAATGACTTGATTTCTAGTTGATCATTTGGAAAAGTGGCAAAAGGTAGTTATTTCCGATGGATGAATCATCTGTTGAACTGCATCCCAATCATTACAAATAAAGACCTATTTGAACTCGCATGACCCAACATTCTCATAGAAATCAGTCAAGTTTGGTGAAGGAAAAATCATGGTTTGTGGTTACATTCAGTATGGGGCGTGCAAGATATCTGCAGAGTGGATGTCAACATCAGCAGCCTGAGGTATCAAGACATTTGTGCTGCCCATTACATTACAAACCACAGGAGAGGGCAAATTCTTCAGCAGGATAGTGCTCCTTCTCATACTTCAGCCTCCACATCAAAGTTCCTGAAAGGAAAGAAGGTCAAGGTGCTCCAGGATTGGCCTGCCCAGTCACCAGACATAAACATTATTGAGCATGTCTGGGGTAAGATGAAGGAGGGGGTATTTAAGATGAATCCAAAGAATATTGATGAACTCTGGGAGTCTTGCAAGAAGGCTTTCTTTGCCAGTGATTTGAGTCATTGCAGAGATGTATGGATGCAGTCGTTCAAGCTCATGGGATACATACACAATATTAAATCTTTTTCCACTGCAGCATGACTTAATATTTTGTAATTTACATTATTTCTGTTGAGTGACAAGACTTTTGTCTAAGCAAAGTCAGACCTTACTGTCCTATTTAAATAATAAAAAATCAAGGCATGATCATATTTTAGTTTGGTAAAAATTTGCGTTTCCATCATCCAATTTTAATGCGCATATGCGAAATGCATGAAAACATAGCTAATGGCTACCAGTATACAACATTTTTCTAAATATTTTCTTTTGTGTTAATTGGAGAAAAAAAGAACAGACAGACAGACAGACAGACAGACAGACAGACAGACAGACAGACAGACAGACAGACAGACAGACAGACAGACAGACAGACAGATAGATAGATAGATAGATAGATAGATAGATAGATAGATAGATAGATAGATAGATAGATTTCTTAATGCAATTTAATGTGCAATGGCATTATTGTTTATCATTACTGTACTGAAAGACTGGTGTTAGTCATCTAGTTCTGTGTTCCTGTGCAGCACATTGTTGTTTGCAATGGATCTGGACATCATTGTGATTGACAGCCTGTGCGCTGTGCTGTGATTGAGAACACTGATGTTAGATGGCGTTCTGATGCAGGTAATTGCAGACACACGGCGGGTGGTGGAACAGGAGCAACAGAGTGAGGTGGAGCGCTGGAGGAAGCTCGCTCAAGGAAGAGCCAAAGAGCTGGAGGCCTTTAGAATGGAGCTGGACTCAATACTGGACGTCCTCCGAGAGCTTCAGCGACAGGGGGTAGTCATACCCATGCCAGAACACACATCCACTAACACGCACACATACCTGCCACTCCGATCCTGAAAAAAACTGGAATCATTGATGTGTGGAAGCAAGGGAAGGGGGTGTATTTATATTAGTTTTTTATATAGATTATTTAATTATTGCTGAGAAACATGCAGGGTAAGCAACATCAAATACAAAGCTTTTGGTGTTAGTAACTAGGATTTTGTATTAAAGTTAATTAATGTTTGCACAATTTGTCTTTCTTCCCGCTTGGTTGCTTTTACAACATCCTCTTGAGCAAACAAAGCTAGAATGATTGTTGATGCACCACCCACATGAAGTTCTGATCTCCAAATCCCAGCCCAAAAGTACATTTACACAACAATATCGCAGACGTCACGATTTATTACTTGCTTTAATGCTGGGCTCAGAGGACACCGTTTGAATGCTAATGAGCTACTAAAAGAACATAACTTGCGTAAGTGGCTGGAGATGGAGCTGCTGGGTTGCGTGATGATTATTAAGAGCTGATCAACATGCAGCACTGTTTATAAACACCAAGGGTCCTGGAAATATATTATTTAATTGGGCACACGGGATACATTTGCGGAGAGGTCATGGAGTATACAAAAAAACATTTAAAAGGGGAAGTTTACTTTTTAAAGGAAAATTATTGCCTTTCAAAAGTGAAGCTGCCATAATTTTAAATAAATTAGGCTTTTGATGACTCAATCACAGAACTGATAATATTCTAAGCTGCAGCTTGTGTGAGATTTGATGTCTGTTCAGAACTCAGCTTAACTGTCACGTATCTAAATGATTCATTATCTGTCTGCCAGCTTCAGTGTATAATTATGTCATTTAGTATTCCTCAAAAGTCACGTCTATTAGAATTTGTCCTCAGGCAAGCTTGTTTATATCTTGTCAGTAGTTAATGATAGAATTAATAATTTTAACATCTTGCATTTTTAAATGTTAAAACAATAAGGGCCTTATCATACTCCCATCGCAATAAGGCGTGTTTGGTGCGATTTGTTCAGACCAGCACAACTCTAGTTTTCACATTTTCACCACGTTGTTTAAATGGAATATCCATTTGTGCCGCTTTGTGGACTCATGGGCAATCTGTTCTAAAATAGAGGTGTGTTAATGCGCATTGCTGGCATGTTGCTGTTTTGAAGAACTAAAATAGACCGCAGCATTGATCATCCAAAACAGGTCTAAAGTCCAATGCAGATTACGTTAGTTATGGGCCTATATGGGTTTGAACGCGTACACATTGCTTAAGACACACAGGATGTACAGCAATACACAGATAACTTTACATATGAAAAAAATTAAAGAATTTAAATGTAACAAGAATTAATATTTTTTTACATAAATATTTAAACTACTGCCTCCATGCCTTTTTCATGCCTCTGATTTTTTTTTTTTTTCAGTTTAATGTTTATATTACAGGGCGAAGCAGTGGCGCAGCAGGTAGTGCTGTCGCCTCACAGCAAGAAGGTCGCTGGTTCAAACCTCGGCTCAGTTGGCGTTTCTGTGTGGAGTTTGCATGTTCTCCCTGCCTTTGCGTGGGTTTCCTCCGGGTGCACCGGTTTCCCCCACAGTCCAAAGACATGCGGTACAGGTGAATTGGGTAGGCTAAATTGGCCGTAGTGTATGAGTGTGTGTGTGAATGTGTGTGTGTGTGGATGTTTCCCAGAGATGGGTTGCGGCTGGAAGGCTATCCGCTGCGTAAAAACTTCCTGGATAAGTTGGCAGTTCATTCCGCTGTGGCGACCCCGGATTAATAAAGGGACTAAGCCGACAAGAAAATGAATGAATTTATATTACATATCATATTTAAATTAGTTTTAATAAAAACAAGTTCAGATTTGTCCAGCTGTAGGGTTTTGGTGCCATATGCATCACTATATGGGCATAAGTAAAAGACGTGTGTTTGGACATAACTCCACACTTAATTATTATTGTTCATTTTATTGTTCATTTATTTGTTTGCTGGAAATTAGACCTGAATTTATAAATAGTTCTGAAACAAATCTTTGCGCTTAACAAACTAAATGAAATATGTAGGCTAATGGACGTCTTCAGTGGAGCGAGTTTCCATCATTTCCTTTTTTCAAGAAAGTAAAGGAGTAAAGTAAAGAGTAAAAGTAAAATTAAGTGAACGCAAAGAGGCTGAATGGAGGAAGCTCGTCCTTTATCCTCGCTGCAGATGATCTGTTTAACTATTTTCTCGCTGGTGAAGCATTCAGTTTTTACACTTACAAAGTCTGCCATGTAAATGGCAAATGCGCCATGGCATGATGCAACTGACTCTTAAAGAGAATGGGAGATGAGACTCTGGTTTAATGCACGTTATGCTCAAAAAACAGCCATAACTCATTAAAAGAATAAGCACATCCCTGTTAGACCATGTGCCAGGGTGCAGAGCATATCCTTCCTTAAAATAGCAAAAGTGTATTCGGACACGCCTTTAGTGCTTTTGCACCATTGGCTTTAGAATTTGCGCCTAGATAGTTCAAATAAAGGCCTAGGGGTGTGACGAGATATCGTGTAATGAGATCTCGCACAATTAAATCGGGACAAGATTTCTTGTTTCATGTTGCTGATTAAAAGTGAAAACTGGTGAATTTTTTTTAAATAAATACCAAAAATGGCATAATTTTTTATTATTTCAATTTGTGGAAAGGAGTTCAATTTCTCATGTAAAATTGTACAGGAGAGAAGCTAGTCAGTACAGTTTAAAGCAAAACATTTTGCAGTGTTTGCATGTTCTTTACTACACAGAATCTGATAAAAGTAAAATAACATTACAAGTTATTTTCAAAAAGCACCTAAATTGTTTTGCATTTTGTGATTTTTTTTTTATTTATTTATTTTTTATTTTTTAGTTTAATCAAAATCTATTTTCCATTAATATTAGCAAATATTTTTTTAATATTTAAAATTATATAAAAAGATTATTTTCCATTCTTGTATATTAACAAAATATTCAGCAGTGTTGCATGTTCTTTACTGCATTGAATTCATTTAAATAGAAGTAAAATAAATTCAACACAAGATTTAAAACAACTATATATATATACACCATTGAAGATTTTTTTTAAATCTCGTCTCATTCTTGTGGAGTAAGCGTCTCGTCACACCCCTATAAATTTGTATGTGATCCCATAGTTAAAGTAAAATAAAATAAAGCATCATTTTAAACAACATTTCTATTTTTATGTAGTGATAAATAGTGTATTCTAATGACAAAAAAATCACCTGAGGTAGTCACTAAGGTTTTCTGAGTGGTTGCTAGGTAGCAACTCTCTGATCCAAGTCAAAAAGTCACCCGCTTAATATGTCAGCTGAAAATGAAAATTCAGATAAAAGTAATACCAAGCGTGCTGATTTGACGCATTGCTTATGGTCTAGGGATTTGTTATGGAAACATTTTTGCCAATGTCACCACAGTAAGCTTTGCGCTGAATTTTATTGGCATATAGGTGTTCAATAAAACAAGAGACAGAAGTATAGTGCTGAATTGCTCCAGCAGCTCAGCCAGCTGTGTTCAGACAACCACAGAGAGTTAGTATGCATGTATGCTGCAGATTTCCAGCAGAAAGCCACTGATTCAGCTGACAGGTGCAGACAGAGAGCTATTTTCTACTCAGGCATTTGCTCACAAAAACAAGCCCGGAGAACCAGGCAGTGCAATACCAAATTGCTGCAATTTTTGCCATTAGGCTACATAAGTACAAAGCTGCATAAAGCATCTTCCAATCGCACTTGAAGAGATTTTTTTTAAATCATTCTCTCAATGGTAATGACATTGTAAGACATTGCATTCTGCTGGAATGCCTTCCTAGAGCTGTCATTGAATGGATTTTGTTGTTTTTCTTCTTTAAACATGTCTTTGTTTCAAGACTTCTTACAGTAGGCTTCTCAACAGTCTTTCAACATGCTGTCAAGAACACATTTGCAAAATGTTTTTGATCTTTCAAACTGACATCATGGCCTCCCCGTAGTCAGAAAATAGCTCAGCCTTGAATATTGTGCATCACACTCCACTTTAAGAGAACATAGGCTGAGTGATGGAGCCGTAATGAGTGATTAAAGGCATCAATGTTCAGTTTTAATCAATGATATGATGAGTACAGCGTGGACGGGCCTCCTCCATTATAATTGGTGGATCGCCCAAGAGTAAATCTTCATCCCCCAGTGCGGAGTTCAGTTCTGAGTTCACAAAGTTGGGGATGTTAAAATGTGCCAGGAGTGCTGCCTCCCGTTCTGCCCTGCTCTCAAGAACCATGTTTTGGACGACTAGGCCAACCTCTTCCACTTGGCCTCTGGAGTTGCCAATGCCTGATCGTCCATGGGTGAGAGCGCCAGCATCAGTGGCGGCTCTGCCTCCTTCTCGCTCTTCTTCATTAATGTAGCAGTGAAAAAGAGAGCGCGACTCCTCCAGCAGTGGGCGAGAGAGGCCCGTTCGGCCATCTGTTTCACGTTGGCGGCCTAAACCGTCAGCACAGCTGGTCAGGCGCATCCGCTTCTCGTAAGGCTCGGCTGCCCTGAGGGATTAAAACAGGGATATTGAACTTCAATGCTGTGTTCCAATTCACTTACTTATAAAAGGCCATAGAAACATGTAGTTGTTGGTGAAGGAAATGTGCATGCTTTTGTGTGTGTAACAGAAGCTTTGGGACAAATTACTTTGTCATTAATGGAGTGTTCAGTTGCTTAGTTCATGCACTGTCAGTCATTCTCTCACATTCTTAACCCTTGTGTACTGTTGTGGATGTTTTTATCCACTCTGAGGTGATTTTGTGGCTTAATTTGGCCATAAGTTTTTTTTTTCTGTTTTTAAGCAAATGAAATGAATTTTGGCGACAACTTATTTTGACATATTTTGGAAAAATAAATTAGACTTTTTTTTTTGTTTTGTTTTAATACACTCTGGGCAAATTTACTACCCTTTCATTACGATTGTGGCTTTTTTTTTTTTTTTTTTTTGGCCCATTGACTTTCATTAAAACTCCTTTTTTTTTTTTTTTTACTTTTTATCATCAATTACAATGCAAAAAAGATTAAAAGTTTTTTTTATAGAACATAGTGTATGCCTGTGTGTGTGTGTGTGTGTGTGAGAGAGAGAGAGAGTTTGAGGCTACATTCACACTGTGAGGCTTAGTGCTCAGTTTTTTTTTCTCAGATCCAATTTTTTTGCAGAGCTGTTCATATTGTTATAAATGTGGCTAATATATTTTA